TATTTTTAATTATCAGAAGAATAATAATTACTAAATATTATTAAATTAATTAATCACTATTTAAATGGGTAAAAAATTTCACTTTTTAATCATAATTAATTTCACTTAAAAAAAGTTAAATAAAAGATATATTAAAAAATATATATATATTAATAATTAGTTTTATTAAAAAAATTATATATATATATATTTATTAAAAGATATATATATATATAAATATAGTTAAAGAATATATTAAAAAATATATATGTAATTTGTTAGCAAAAAAATATTTACTAATTATTATTTTATATTTTTTATTCAGGGAGTTAGTAGACCCTAAATCAATACATAATTTTTCGATTGTAGAGACAGGCTCGTTCGTGTTACAGAGCAATCGAAAATCGCATCAATGGTATTTTTTTTTCATGTTTAAGTTGAATGGTTTTTTTTGTTTTGCTAAACTTCAGTTGAATGAATTTTTTTTATTCTAATGTCCAATTTATAACAAATTATTTTGAATATATAACATAATAATTTATAATAATATTATTATTATATATATATATATATAAAACAAAACATGGTGTCCGGCCGGTCGGACCGATCGGACCGATCACGACCGGCCGTCGGGGCCGGACGCCGTTTGGGCCGTCCGGTTTCGGCGGCCGGACAATTTTTATTTTTTATTATTTTTTTTTTTTACTTTTTAGAAAAAAAATGGCAAGGACAAAAATGTCCAAAAGGGACGGTACATAGTAATAAGGAGGCGGTAAATAGTAAACCCCCTTCTAAAAGGGATGGAAAAAAAGTTTTAATAGGGCTTAATTTGGAATTCAACTCTTGCACGCTTTCATCATCACCACCACATTTAAATAACTGAAGCCTTCGTCTCTAATCAGCCATGGCCACTTTAACAGACAGCGTGAGCATTTTTTCTCTTTAGCTAACTAAATTTCAAAAAGAAAAAAAAATAAAATAGAAAACCGGACATTGGTAGAGACGGAGCCATTTGTTCATTCTTCGAATAAGAAGGTAGGGAAGAATCGAGAGAGCTCACACTCTGACACTCAAACCAGGTAAAGCTTGTAGTTCATAAATCCACCCAATGCGCATAAATCTGCAGATTTTGCACTCTTGTGTTCTTTAAATTGAAGTTCTAGCTTTTTTCCCTGGAATTTTGTGTTTTTTGTTTTTTGGTTTAAATCGTGTGGCAGAAAATTCACCTGTTCTTCTATGCTCTGCGACGAGTGTGATGAATTGGTTTTTCTGTCCGATTGAGAGATGGAGAACGTTTTTTATTTATTTATTATTATTTTTTTTTTTGAATTTCATTTGATCTTTATCTGTTTTGTATGTTTCTCATGAAAAATTTCCCTTCGAGTAAATAGACTTCTGATATTTAAATCGACTATTGAATTAATCAGTAATATAGGAGAGAAATGGTCGCCGGCGATCAGAATAAGATCACCGGATTATGCCTTTAATTGATTTCGTGTGTTTTGCGTGAGGAGAATTTTTAGTGAAAAAAAAAATCCGGTGAGCAGAGGAAATTCCTTGAATACAGAGGAATAAACCTTTGACTTGTAACTGATGAAAACTCAATTAACCCACTCTATGCCGAGCTAATTTTCGGCTCATCCATTAATTTGATCTAATTAATAGCTTTAATAGTTGTAAACCGTATTTGATAGCTTAACTGATGGACTAAATACTCCAAATTCTCTGTTTTCACAGGTTGCAGCCAACTAAATGGGCTCTAATGAAGAACCATCCCCGCCAATATCAAACCAAAGCAAACCCCCCGGAATCCGGCTAGCCGAACACATCAAGAAATCGAAAATCTCGTACAAGACCCATCAAGCCATCGTCCTAGTCATCACCTTTTTCGCCTACCTAACCTATCACGCCACCCGTAAAACCTCTAGCATAGTCAAAAGCGCCCTCGACCCGCAATCCCCGAACATTGACCTAAAATCCCCCTTCTCGTGGGCCTATTCGCGCCCGTGGATTCTTGGAGTTGGGTGGGCCCCATTTAACGGGCCCAACGGGACCTCGCTTCTCGGTGAACTAGACGTTGCCTTTCTATTCGTGTACGCCGTGGGAATGTACTTCTCGGGCCACGTGGGAGATCGAGTGGACCTTAGGGTTTTTCTCACTATAGGGATGGTCGGGACCGGTTTGTTTACTTCCCTATTTGGGGTCGGGTATTGGGCAAACGTACATTTTTATTACTATTATTTAATTGTTCAGATGTCGACCGGCTTGTTCCAGTCGACCGGTTGGCCTTCGGTGGTGGCCGTGGTCGGGAATTGGTTCGGGAAGAGAAGGAGAGGGCTCATTATGGGGATTTGGAATTCGCACACGTCGATAGGAAACATTATAGGCTCGGTTGTTGCTTCAGTTTTGTTGAAGTACGGTTGGGGTTGGTCCATGGTGGTCCCCGGACTTGGCATTGCCTTTGTTGGGATATTGGTCTACTTTTTCTTGCCCGTTAGTCCCGAGTCGGTTGGGGCCGGCTTGGACGAGGAAGATGATTTGTTGATGTCGTCACCGAAGAAGTCTCTTTTGAGGTCAAATTCGGATGACGTGGACACTGTCGGGTTTTTAGAGGCGTGGAGGATACCTGGAGTCGCCTCGTTTTCGTTGTGCCTTTTCTTCTCGAAATTGGTGGCGTACACGTTCCTCTACTGGCTCCCGTTCTACATTAGCCACACCGGTATATATGATTTTTTTAAAAATTGCAATTTTATTCCTCTATGTTATTAACC